GCAGTTTTCCCTGTGATGGAGGAACCAGTCTGCCTGCTCTCTGTGGAAAGCATTGCAGCCAGCTCTGAAGGGCAGCCACAACTAAAAGTACAAACCCAAACCCTTGTGTCTTCCAGGACAGACGAGTGGCTCTCGACAGCAATTGATTGCTTGGAATATCTTCCTGATCATATGGTGGTGGATATTAGCAGGAACCTGCCTGATCAGCCAGACAAAGCAGATTCCTGGAAACTGCTGCTGTTTGAAAACATTGGGAGATACTACAGCCAAAAAAAGGAGCCACTCTTAAGCCATGCATCTGAAATTCATTTAGGAATTGCAGAACTATTAGGTAAGTAAAATAGAGCTGTGCTCCAATGCTCATGTGAGATATATACAAAGAAACTGAGGATTTACCTCGGGTGCCGAGATTAAAAGCTGACTTCTACAAGTGAATTTTTGTTGGGTTTTGGTGGGTTTTTTGATTTTGTTTTTGTTTCATTTTGTTTGTTTGGGGGTTTTATGTATGGTTGGAGCTCTTTAAATTTCTAGTCATAAAGACTGTTCATTGGCATTTTGGTTCTTACTGTATGCAGTTCTGTAATCATTGTTCAGGTCTATGTAGAATGGCTGTGAAACCAGAATGCTATAATTTGGTACTAGCTGGCGTCCATGGAAGTCAGATATCCATGGGAAATGAAATATAAACATAGCCTAATAGTAAATATTTAGGCTGTAAGAGCTAAACAGAAAGCTGTGTGGATGCTTGGTACCCCATTGACAACTTCTGCTTTTTTCTTCTTGTTTCTTAACTTTTGTTTGCACTACATTTTAGAAAGCTTTTGATGTTTTAGTTCTCAACATTTTATCCCAGATCTCCTTATTTTTCATAAGTTCTCTGCTTTGATTATTCTCCTTGTTCCATGTTAACTGGAATACTTTACATTTATATCCCATTCTTCCTCTGTACATGATAAAGGATATTAGTACAACCTACTTCATTTAAACAATTCACAACTCTAAAATGGCTACTCTGCATAGTAAGGCAAATTAAAATTGAGCAAAGTTCTACAAAGTAATTTGCAATTAACTCATCAAACTAGCCTATGTATCTAGGACATATGCCTCAGTTTATGTGAGATCTTTATCCAACAAGCAGAGGCCATTTTTTTTTTTTTTTTTAATAGAACCATTTTCCTTTTTCAGTATTTCTCATCCCCTTTAAGATGGCTGATCTGTAATTGAACTTAATTACAAGGGAGCTTTAATGCCAGGCTGAAGGCTTGTGTGTGGGATGTTGTGAGAGACTCTGCAAGCAGCTGTCCTCAACCTGGGAAAAGTTTTTCTGAGAATGGATTGCTGTGTTTGGCCGGTTCTGTTTAAGAGATGGGCATCTCTTCAGGGGCTAATTTAGGTGTTTTATGGTTACATTTATTTAAATAAATAATAAATAAATGTTTATTTATTTAAATAAATATTTATTTAAATAAATAAATGTTCAATAGAGCCCTTTCTCTCTCCCCAGTGAATGGGAAGATGGAGCAATCTTTAGAAGCTGTTCAGCTCTATTTGAAGCTCCTAGACAGCCAAGTCAGGGAAGAGTTCAGGAGACTGCTGTACTTCATGGCTGTTGCATCACATCATTCTGAGCTCAGGCTACAGAAGGAGGTAAATCTGCATTCTTAACAGCTGTTTTACTCTTTCTGAAATCCAGAGGTCCTAGCTACTGGTGAGAAAACACCTCTGTAGTTTAAATTTGTGACTTGACAAAAAGCAATGTCTCAGAAGAACAAAGGTGATGCCCTTCTCAATGGGGGAGACTAACTCTCCTCTTCTGGTCATTGTATCCCTTTGTTCTATAGAGTGACAACAGGATGGTTGTGAAAAGGACATTCTCTAAAGCTATTATCAACAACAAAAACCTATCCAGAGGGAAAACTGACCTCCTGATCTTGTTCCTTGTGGACAACCAGAGAGATGTGTTAAAGGTAAGAACCAGGAAAGGGGCAGGTTTTGTTTATCTGGTCTGCTGGTGGAGAGCTGCCTTCTCTAAGCTGCTGTTGCATCGTCCTCTCTTTCTGTTCCAGATCCCAGGGGCCCTGCACAAAATGGTCAGCGACAAACTGCTGGCCATGCAGAAAGGCCAGGATCCCAGCAAGATAACAGGTAACTCTGCACACCGAGCTTTGCAATCTTGTGCCCCCAAAGGAGAAATGCCTGATGCAAAAAAAGGTGGTAACAATGTCAGCTAAAGGAGGGTGGGTCCCCGGAATCTCGAGGGTGGGTGGAGTGTGGTGATAATCCTCTCAACGTCTCCCCTTTCCTTTCAGGTTATACCTTTTGCCAAAAGCTTGATGAAAGAGAGTATCGCTCCAACACAGAGAAGACCACGAGAGATGAGCTATTATCTCTACTAAAAGCTATTGATGAAGATGCAAAGCTCTCTGACAAAGAGAGGAAGAGGCTGCTAGATCAGTTTCATAGTAATTATCCAAGTATTTTTGTGCAGTATTTTGGAGACAGAGTTACTGATGTGTGTAAATATTGATTACTTTGTATACCCCAGCAGTGAAAACACTAATATATTTGTAAATCTTTTGTATTCATGTATCTGCCTAATAAAGTTATTTTGTGGAAACTGATGGAATTTATGCAATTATTACCAAAGCAAACAGTACCTGAGTTTAACCTGTATTTATAGTTTAGCTTTTCTCATTCTTAATTGCTATAGGACCAAAATACTACTTCCCCAGAAGCCAAGTACTCCTTCTATTGAAGTTGAGTCCCTCAATTTGAGTATTAAAATCACTGAGAGGGAAGACACCATGAATGAAATATCTTTGGCACCTTTTGCTCCAGTACTGAATTTTATGCCTTTTTTTATTTCCTAATCTTCCTTGGATTATGTGAATATCACATAACATTGATCTTTGGCTTGCTGTGTGCTGGAGAGACCTTGAAAAACATATTCTGCTTGATACTGCACAGCTTTTCTTCAGGCTTGCCAGCTAACTAACCTATGTGTGTGACAAATTATTGTGCTGTTTTAAGCTCAAATGACACCATATTGAGGAATTGGCTCTCCTGGGGTGGTAAAGTCAGTCTGGATTTTGAAGTCAGTCTGGCTTTGGTTGCCACAGGATGTACTGTTAGTGGCTGGTTATCTTCATCCCTGCAGGGTTTTGCTCTGTCTGTACTGATGGCACCAGCTGTAATTAGAAAAATGCTGGAGCAAAGAAAGGGCCTTTGGCTTTTCTCTTGGCATTTCTTATTCATGTCTGGTCTATAGTGGAAATACCAAGATTTGCAACTCAGGCTACTACAATAATATATATTTATGTATATAAAAAATGATCAGACATCTAATAATGACTCTTGTGGAGTTATCTTTGGAATGATGTCACCAAAACTTCATTACAGCTGCTGTTGAAAAAAAAAATACCAACCAAATTTTGTTCCATTTAAAGTGTTGAGATCTGTTCTTGTATTTAGGAGCAAAAGCTAATTTAATTATGATAACAAAATAGAAATAACTGTTACAGTCACATGTGGTGAGCTGTTCTTAAAAAGCACAACCCTGTGTCAGACTCTCATGCCTCACTAACTAATGCTTCAGTGATTACCAGTGTCTGCTGCCAGGGGCCAGAGTGTTTCTCTGAAATGGAGCCGAAGGACTTGGTGTGCAACAGGACAATGTTTTACTGTGTCCTGATGGGGGATGGAAGACAAAAATGTCAAAAGCTTCTAGTTAATTAGAAAGACTTCTAAAAATAATCAGCTCCTGAAAGCTAGCAGGGAAGCATAGGCCTTTATAGTAGTTATAGTTCATAGTTTTAACGGAAAGGTTTTTATTATGAATGCACTTCCTCAGAAAAATTGTCTTGGCTCATAGTTTAAAATGTGGGAGTGGAAATCCTAAATTAATGATGGTGTTGGATTGGTTTGCTCTTCAGCAGAAGTATTTTCCCTTTCTACCTCCTGCCTGCTGTAACATCTGGGTTAGGAGGATGCGATTCCTGCCTGGGAATTGAGCTGTTCCCTGCGGGCACGGCCTGTGCAGTGCCAGATCCCTGCCCCGAGAGCCGGCGGGCACTCGAAGGTGGGCACAAGGCAGGGGCAGCGCGCTCCTTCCTCTTTTTAGGGTGATGGAGGGAATCTCAGATTCCTCTCTGGAGGAACTGGCGGTCACACTGTGACCTGTGTAAGGCGCCTAAGGACAGCAAGGGCGACCCAAGACCGCGTTCCCTGCTTGCTGGGGGGTTGATCTGAACCAGCGCTGTGTGATGGGGCATACCCCGATCCATCCATCCCATCCATCCCTCCATCCGTGTCCGGGCGCGGGCCGCGGGCCACTCTGCTGGGGCCGGGACCCGCTCCTCGCCCGGCCGTGCCCCGGCGCCGGGACCCCTCAGCCGCTCCGCCGCGGGCCGAGCCCGGGGCCGGCCCCGCCCCGGAGCCGCCGCGGCCCGCCCCGCGCTGGGGCTGCGGCGCCGGCCCAGCCCCGCTCCGCGGCCGCAGGAGGGGCCGGGCCCGTCCGAGCCGGCGGCCGCGGCGGCTGCTCCGGGCGCGGTAAGGCGGGGCGGCCCGGCCGGGGGCGGCCCGGGGCGGAGGGCGGCGGCGGCGGGGCCGAGGGCGGCGGGCAGGGCCCGGGCCCCGCAGCGCCGGGCGGGCGGCGGCGGCTCCGGGCCCGGCGGGCGGGCTCAGCTCCCCCGCGCCCGTTCGGCCCGGCAGCCCGCGGCCCCCCGGGCTCGTTCTCCCCCTTAGCCCGCTGGTGAGCCCCGGAGCTCCCGGGCTGTGCGAAGGGGAAATGCGGCCGGAGCGGCGGCGCTGCTGCCGGGCCCGTGGGGATGGGGACGGGGCCGTGTGAGCTCCTGGTAGGGATGGAGCTGGCATGACAGGGCCTCACACGGAACGGGCGGCGGAGGGAAGGGCGGAATTTCACAGCATCCCTTCTGATGGGACGGGGGACAGGCTGCGGCTTGCCTGCTGCTGGGATACAGGGAAAGGGGCTTGTGGGAGCACAGGGAAGGGCAGAGTTCTGCCTGGGGAAAGGCAGCCGGGAGTGTTGGGCCGGAGCTCAGGGCAGCTGCCAGCGCCGTCTCACACGGTGGGACAGCGCTGGGAGCGAGGGGCTGCTGCTCCAGCCTCCTTCCTGTGTGCTCCAGGGCAGCACGGGGCAGGTTATTGCTGCTGCTGCCCATCACGAAGTGTGAGGACCTGGAATGAAGAGAAGCTGTGGAAAATGTTTTGTTTAGATTTAAATTTTGTTGCATTTTCCTCTTGCGTTTCTGTTCTCGTTAAAAATAAATGCGAGGAAAGTGCCAAGAAGTAGACTTTGTTCTGTTAAGAGCTGGAATTGTTTCTGTGAAAGGAGGGGTGACGGTCATGCTTCTGGAAGAGGTATTGTCAAGCTTATTTACTCAGTGGAAAGAGGATATGTTCTAGATGTGTTCTGGCAATAATAGCAGTAATCCATCAGAAAAGAGCAGACTATTGCAAACTAAACAACTAAACCAACAAGTGTGCTTGTTTACCTCATCTGCTGAACAGTCATTTGGTAGAAAGGCCCAGGAGTTTTAATACCTGCCCTCCATAGCTGAAATAGGATTTTTTAAAAACAAATGGTAATGAAATTAAACTTAGGCTGGGTTTGAGACTGTAGCTCTTGAGCTGTCATTTTATGGAAGGCAACACTTTAGGGTGTAGTCTGCGTGGTAGGAATGATGGCCTGCTGGGCAAAGCTGGGGCTAGGAATCATCAGACTGATGGTCTTGTCCCTGTCATTTATCTTCTGTGAGTCCTCAAGTAGCTGAACTCAAACCTCAGTTTCCCCTCTGTAAGTGAGGTTTATTATATTTCTCTGCTTTTCTCAGGGTGGTGAGGATAAAGTGCAGTGAGAGATTGCAAGGCACTAGGAATTGTTGTGTGCATTAAAGACTTAAGTGGGGCTTAGTTGAGTCATCTTTGTGGTTCAGATTTGACTTCAGGAGGATGCTTGGTGGAAGAGAATGGATGAGAAGAACAACCGTCTAGTCTGGAATGAGTGCGGAAGCCTTTGTGATAATGCTTTTATCCTAGCCAAATTCAACAACAGGTTTCTCTCTCTCTTTAACCAGTCCTGTTTTACATTTTATATTGCAATGGTTGCTATGCTCTTCTCTGTGAACAGCCCCTTTATTAACAGAGCTCCTCATCCTCCATCTAGATGTGGAGTGAGTCTAACAGTACCTGTGCTGATGCCTGTGTGCCGAGGGTGTTCTCCTGTGTTATTCGTCCCAAGCTTTTCATGCTGCTTTCTCCTCTAAAATAGAAATGACACAGTGCTGTGGGCAAGTGTTGCATGCTGTTGCCTCTCAGGCATCAAGCAAGATGATGATCCTGAGTCATTGCTGTAGAGCAGAACTGTTCCTTACATGCCCTGAGCTTTCCAGCTGTCCTGAGGAATCACATTGTGCAATCAATTTAAGCACTGGTGGAGCAGGGTTAGTTATTACATCTGTTGTATGAAAATAAATATCAGTGCTGCATTTTATATTTCTACACTGTTGCTTGCTTCTGCTGCATCCTCTTCAGTGTAGTTTTTGATGCTGTATTTTCTCTCAGTAGCTGTGAGGTGCCTCTCATGCTAATAACTTGATTTATTTCAAAATGTGAAAGTGGGGATGGTGGGATACTAGGGGGAAGAGGAAGTTGTTGTTTCTCCAGGAGCTTTCTTTTATTTTTGAAAGCAGACGCTTCCGGGCTCTCACTTCACAGAACATCTAAGTTATTTAATTTAGATACATCACATGCTCTCAAAGAGATTTCTGTAAAATTAAAGCCTGAACAGCAGCTTCCTGTGTGATAGTTTTCAATGGTGGATGTAGAAATTACATTCTTGATAGGGAAATCTGAGAATGAAATAAGTGAAGAGAAGGGACCAAATGAGACTTGGTTTTCTACTGACAATTTTTTAAGTGTAATTTTGGGTACCCTGCAGATGTCTGCAATGTGATATAAATATCCTTTAATATGTAATGTCTAATAAACCAGGATTTTAATTACTGTAACTGTCTTTACTGTCTTAATTAAAAAACACAAACAACTGTGATATTTTGTGCATAAATCAGGACTCTTGAATGTAATGAAAATATGGGAATATAATTTTATATTAATTTCTCTCTAGTTCTTTTGCTGTTTCTTAATGCTTTTGGCTCAGAGGGAAGTTTTTAAGTTGGGGCAGACCATAGTTCAGGAATATGTTATAGAATATAACAGGAAGATTTATTGCTGTGTAGTAAGGAATTGTCTCATAATCTTTCATAAAACATGTTTGTGACATTGTTCTGAAGGTGTTTTTCATCACTCTCTTAAAAGCAGTGCTAGGAACAAAAACAGTATCTTTTTCTCTCATCTGTATCATTATGGAACAGTTTGAGATTTTTGAGAATTGACTGGGACTGCAGATTAAATAAATGCTAGCTGTGTTGAAAGCATCCCATTTAGTGGAAGATGGGAAGTGAGTCACTGAATCCAGGTCCCCTGCCATTATAGGGATGACATCATACAACTCCTCTTAGGAATTCTTTCATTCTTAATTTTTTTTCTCTTAATCAAGAGGACTTCTGTTGATGTTTACCCCCTCAGTCATGTCAGAAAATGCTTATTCATTCCCTTTTTCATATTTTTTCTTTTTGTAAAGAACCAACTGAAAATGTCTCAGAATCCTGACAAGCTAAATTCGAGTGAAGAAAAGTTGAGTGGTTTGGAGGATGATGAGGAAGAGAACTTGGAGAACTCGGATCAGTCTGTCCGAAAAAGAATACGACAGAGTGCTCCAGGGTCACACAGAGATGATACACCAAAGTGTAAGCAAAACTGCTTTATGAAATACAGTAAGAAATAGCCAATCCTCTAATTGTTGTTGGAGCAATCCTAGTGTTTTATAGCATTCTGTGCAAGTTGAGTGTCTTGCAATTAAATACAGTGTGACTCTTGATGTTATGCCTTGAAACTGTAACACTTTTCTCCCTGTTTTCTTTTTATTTTCCTAATTGTACACACAGTATGCACATTTTCTTAATTGTACACAATGATCACGTTGCTCTGAGCCACATGTATCCTAAATATCCTGGTGTATTTGTGCTCTTGGAATGGATGAACACCACCCCAGTGTGTTCCAGCTAAACTGACTCTGCTGTTTGCCTTATCAGCTGAACCTTCTGCATTGCTCTGTTCCTACTGCAGGGCAGAAAAGGTTGTTATCAACCAAGGGATGTCCTGCCAGCCCCCTCACAAGATAGATGGAAAGTTGTGTATTTAATCCTAATACTACTTCCCTATAAGTAGGACTGCATAATTTTCCCAAGGCATATTTTTCTTTGCCATTCTGCTTTTAACATGAAGGTCTGGATGTAATATGGGAGCCAGTATTTCTGGCAAATCTGTAGATAAAACCAAAGGGAAGTTTTCTGGCTCCAGGGATTCAATTCAAAGAAGCAGAATTGCTCAGGGTTCTAAATTTCTGTAGGAAGTAACATTTTGTTTGTTGCATTCTTTTTATTTCTTGGTTGTGTTCAGTGTCGTGTTACTCAGAGGAGATGTTCTGAGGGAGTTCCTGTTCCCATGCCTTGCTGGGTGCCTGGTAGGAAATGGGTGTTTGTATGGAGAGAGGCTCTGAACATGGGGAAGTAAAAATCATGGTACAGTCTAGCAGTGCACCACAAAGAGGTGGTTTGGTCTCAAGCCCAGCCCTCGTGTAAGAGAGCAGGTATGAGAATTAAGTGATGTGATTTAGGAGCAATCTTTGGCCAGTGAAAGAGTCTTGGCTCTTAGAGCCCCCAGTGCTGAAGTCATTTGGCACTCAGACAAGAGCACTGTGAACTTTGCTGTCTGCTGCTTCTTCTCAGAATATCAATCCTTGCTGTGTTCCCAGAGTCACTCTGCCAAGTTAAGCTCCAGGCAGAAGGAAAGAATGGTTTAGGAGGGCTGCATGAAAAGAGCAACATATTAATGAAAAACGAGCACATTGGACCCCAGCTGTATGAACTCAGAAGAGCTCTGCATGGCAGACAAGTGGTAGACACTTACTTTTGAAAGACCTTTTCTGTTTAATTACTTAAGTCCAATCAACATGGATTAACAAATGAGATGGTCATAGGTTGCCTGAAACATTTCTCAGGGAGCCCAGCCTATGAAGATCCCTGCTTGGTTTCTTTCACTTTTGGGATTGATGTGTGCTCCTATGCCTGGCCTGTAGCTGAAGTGAATGAACTAGAGAATGGAATGGATCCATCAGGGCCCTGTCACTAACCTAGGGCCCAGTTTGAGGCTGCTGGGCCATCCTGGTCAGTCACAAATGCGTGCCAGGGGAAGAGCTCTCAAACATTGGTGCTGCCACTGCTGCTGCTGCTGGCCTCTGTTGTTTGGGTGATGGCCTCTGGGGGGAAAAAAGAGTTTGGAGGAGTGCCATTTGCATTGGAAGTAGTGAGAATAATTAGCTACTGGTGTGCTGCTGCTTAACAGTGATGGTGATTGTTTGTTGACTGCTTTAATGATGAAATCACTTCCTTGAAAAATGTAAAACTGAAATGGCAATATCTGCACAATACTTGTGGAAGTGGTATGGTGAAAATGCTGCTGTTTGTAATTATTTCCTCCTACAGTGTGGAGAAAGATGCTAACGTGCTATTAAGCCATCCTAAAAATGTACTGGTTTGTGTCTGGGGGTGTTTGGAGATGGTTTTTAAAAGAGCTCGATAGAAGCAATTGACTACTGAGCCCAGAATATCAACTGGGATCCACTCCTTGTTTTTTTTAAATACTCCAAACATGTGTCATCCACAAGATGGGAAATGAGAAGAATCTTCAGCTGATGCTGTCATTTGACCCTGAGTACTATCAATAAGGTGGAAAGTGTCCAAAAGACTGTTTCTGCTGGCTTTTGTTGAGAACTGTCTGACAGTGTAATTGATGTTACAGCCAGTCCCTCTCGGCCTGTGTCCTTAGAAGAGCTCATGGAGACAGCAAAGGGAGTCACCAACATGGCACTGGCACATGAAATTGTGGTGAACGGAGACTTCCAGATAAAACCAGCTGAATTGCCAGAACACAGGTAAGGTTGGTGCCAAATACTAAATAAAATTGTGTTTGTAGAGCTGCAGAGCAGCTCTGGGGACTCAGGTAAAGGCTCTGGCTGGTGCTTTGTCTGGCAGTGCCTGGGAGGAGGTAGGAAAGAATAGAAGATGGTAACTGTGCAGTTCTGCTTCCCCAGATGTGTGTGTGTGTGTGTGTGTGTGTGTGAAAGGAGAACCTCTTGGATTAATTGGAGATGTGTGGTGCAAACCCCGGAGTGCTGTGGTTTCTGTTGTGTCCTCTTGTCCCAAGACTCAGAGGCTGCAGCCTTCACAGTACCCCAGTCTGGCTGCAGATGTAGGTAATGCTTTTAGCAATTTTTAAGCTTTCATTGCCTGTGGGAGTAAGAGGAAACTGATTATTTTAGCTTTTCCTGTCTGTTTCTTCAGGAGTATTTTGGGAAGAAATTCCTGTGTTTTATTAGGTTAGTCCTTGCTCATTTCAAGTTCAAAGCCTTTCCTTCTCTGTGTGAGTCTGCAGTAATTGTGTGCCCTGCTGACAGGGGAGAGGGAGAGCAGAGGAAGCTTCATCCTCTGTTCCTCTCTCTCACACCCACAGTGAGGTGTGGCTGACAGCTTCCTGGCTTGATTTGGGGAAGGGGGTGCATATTTCATGGAGGGAACTCGGTCCCCACTGGGGCCACTGCTGAACTTACACCTGGTGTGAACAGGAACTGTCGGTATTTTGAGATAGGAATTGGTACTGAAGCAGTGGAATTCATTTATTTTTTGTATACAAACTGATCTGGGCCCTTACCTCAGAGTAGGTGCAATACTTAGGTAGTGAAACAGAAGATTTTGTGTCAGGGAAGTTACTTCATTTTTGTTAGGTATGCTACTGAATTTTATGCAGTGGAATTGATTTTACTTAGTGGGGCCTTTAAAAGGAACATGAATACTGGTCTTTTGAAGACAAAATGTAATTTTTGCCATTTTTGTTTTGGTCCAGTTTTCTAGATGTAGCACGTGATAAATACTTTGAAGGGTTTTACTTTGTAGCCACCTTTGCTGGTGTGTAATCTTGTATCAGGACATAAACCATTCCAAATCCTGTGTCCAGTTTTTCTTGCTTTTCTGAGTAATTTTAAACGATGGATCTCTGTTAATCATCATATAGTTACTATTGCATTATATTCATATTATTACATGCTGTGCTTCAGGAGCTGCAGGTTATCTTTGTAAGGTGGTGTACAGACCAGTATTGTTCTTTATAACATATTTATTCACAGCTTAGAGAAGAAAGTCAGAGATATTGTGCATAAAGCTTTCTGGGATTGTCTGGAAGCTCAGCTGAAGGAAGACCCCCCGACCTATGATCATGCAATTAAGCTATTGGGAGAAATTAAAGAGGTAAGATGATGTGATATGAAGGGAAATTATTGAATTTGATATGAATGAGCAAAAGTGGTTGGAGTTTGGCTTTTCATAAAAAATCATCTTGTTCTTTTTCATTACTGTGAACATACACAAGCTGTATAATCCAAGAGGAGAAATTTGAATATAAAACCAAATGAAAAACCATGTAAAGTGATTAAAAGGTAAGCAATACCAGTTCCATAATTCCAAGCTTCCTTCATGTTATGGCGCTGGTATTAGTTATGGAATCAGTGAGATGCTCCAACACTGGTCTGATGAAACCAAGCACACCAGTCTGAATTATGATCTGTGCCACAGAGGATTTACCACTTAGTAATTTCAGTATCACACAGCATGAGGTGAAACACTTGGAGTTGGTGGGTGGTTGGTTTAAAAAAAAAAAAAAAAAAAAGAGGGAGAAATTTAATTATTTAATTGTTTAGATAAGAATCCCTGGTAGTGTTCAAGGCCAAGTTGATGGGGCATTAAGCAAACTGGTTTAGTGGGAGGTGACCCTGCCTGTGGCAGGGGTTTGGAACCAGGTGATCTTTAAGATCTCTCCTGACCCAAACCATTCTATGATTCTATAATTCTATAATTCTGTTTGGATCCTTGTAGTCTTTGATGTAGAACTAATGCACTGTTAACTTTCTATTTCAGAGTCTTCTGTCTTTCTTATTGCCTGGTCATACTAGACTGAGAAGCCAGATTACAGAAGTTCTTGACCTGGATTTGATAAAACAGGAGGCAGAGAATGGGGCCCTTGACATTTCTAAGTTGGTCAAATTTGTTATTGGGATGATGGGGACTCTCTGTGCTCCAGCTCGAGATGAAGACATTAAGAAACTGAAAGATATTAATGAAATAGTTCCTCTTTTCAGGTACTGAAATGTATTTGTTAGTCATGTTCAGAGTCTCATAAATAATTTTAGAAGTGGAGGGGGCAGCTTGAGACTCCTAGAAAGAAAAGAGTGATAGGGAAAAGGATGTAGCTGTGGGTGTGAAGGGGAGAGGTGCTCCAGGAGTCATTATCAAGGACCATCTCTGATCTGGTGAGTTGGAGTATTTGTCTGGTTCCTGCATGTCACTGAAGGACATTTGCTTAAATGTCAAATGCAAATAAGCTGCAAGGTAGCAGATGAATAGTCAGTTTGTATCAGAATTGAATGTCAACAGCAGAAGGTGAAAAAGGCACACAAGGGTTTGGGGAAAAGCACTGCTGTTTTCCCACCAGTTTGTCCTTTCATCCCAGTCTGAGCTCTCTTCACCCCAGTCCCTGTGTAATTCCCTGTCTGTTCCAAAGGGAGTATGTGTTCCACATCTGAGAGCATCCAGGCTTCTGCTTTTCCACCATGTTCTCAGTGGAACAGCTCAAGGTCTCAATAGTTGAGAGAAGCTTCATTAACCTTGCTGTTTTCTAATTTGAAAAGCTTCCAGGAGTTCAGGATTGACTTGGCAGAAATACTGCCAGCAGGAATTAGGTTGCTTTGAAATTAAGGTGTTTTATTTTGGTGTTTGTTTATTTGGTTTTTCTTTTTTGCCCCTTGGGTCTGATTATTCACTTCCCACTGAGGCTGGCTTTCCAGGCTGTCAACAGCCATGGCCTGCAAGCTTGGAAACCCAGATGTCCTTTTCAAATACAATACTGCACATCCTGGGAGATAAAATCTATGGAGCTAGTGAAGTTAATTCCATGGAGGCTTTTTTACAGGAGAGCAGGATTTGTTTCCCACTTGGAAGAGGCACATGCATGCATGTACATGCTTGCTCCAGCTTTCTCTGTCTCATGCTCTGAAGTTGTTAAGCTGTTACTGTTTCCCATGCATGTTTTTGCTCTTTCTTTAGACAACCTGTAATAAATCTTGTAAACAGCACCTCTGAAACATCTGCAGCCTTGAATAACTTTTTCTGTTTGTTTGTTTAGAGCAATTTTCTCTGTATTAGACCTAATGAAAATGGATATGGCAAACTTCGCTGTCAGTAGTATTAGGCCAAAATTAATGCAGCAGTCTGCTGAATATGAAAGAAAGAAGTTTCAGGAGTTTCTTGAGAAACAGCCAAGTATGACTTTGTTCCTTTCTTTCTTCCCCCCTGACCTCCCAGTAAACTGCGTGTCTTTGCTTGTAGATCATGAAAAGAACTCAAATATTTTTATAAGTTCTAGAATTCCTATGATAAATGACAGCTTGCGCCCCAAAATTGTGGTTAGAAAAAATCTGCCAGAACAATAGTTCTGCCTTTGGTATGTTCAGTTTAATTTCAGTACAGTGTAGGGCATGATTACCTAGCATCATCTCACCTCTGATTTCCTGTAGCTGTGTGGTTTTGTTTTAGGTGTTCTGCTTGATGCAATAAATGAAATGCATGTCATACCTGATATCATGGGCATTAGTCATAGTAACTAATGGGATTGTTTGGAAATTTTTGATGGAAAAACCTAGTTGTGGAAAGGAATTTTCATAACAAGTTTTTTTTCCCCGCTCTTCCAGATTCTTTAGACCTTGTCACCAAGTGGTTGCAAGAAGCAGCAGATGATCTTGCAAAGCTGGGACATGAAATGCTGCCTCCCCACTGTAGTGATGCCACTGGTGGAGCTTCTGCCTTGTGCTTCACTGCTGTACAAAATCAGGCCTATCTGAAGCTTCTGAAGTGGGATCACGTGAACAGGCCTTTTCCAGAAGTAGGTATTTAACAGAAAAATTGGTTCTGTGCTTGTTCCACTCCTCTATTCCCAGGACACAGCAGAAGCTGTTTGGATTTGTAGCCTGGCAACACGTACAGAGCTAAACCATTGATCTCTGATTGGGAGATGGGGTAGCTCTAACAGGTGCCTGTCTTTCAGTGCTGGAACCTGCTTAGCTGGGAAAGAGGAGCCAGTGATTTCACTCTGCTCCTGTTGCTGGCTGCTGTTCCCTGTGCCTTTGCTGCTGCACCCCAGTGTCCCCTGCCAGCCCTGCAGACTGACTCCCTGCTGTGCTGGCTCCCTCCCTCCTTGCAGACGCTGCTCATGGACCAGACACGCTTCCTGGAGATGCAGCTGGAGCTGGAGCAGCTCCTGGTGGTGGGGACAGTGCTGCTGGTGACCTTCAGTGCAGCAGGCCCAGCTCTCATCGATGTGCCTGGATTCACCGAGAGGATCAAAACCATCGTCAGGGTGCTGCTGACGGGAATGCATCTCCCGTGAGTATGGCACCTCCTGCTCTCAGGGTGTCCTGGTTCAGGTCAAATTTGGGGAAAGAACCCTAAAAGGGTTTCCTTTAGGAAAGCAGACTCAATTGGCTCCTCCCCCCCCACCAACCAGTTCGGGAAGGATACTTCTTGGAGGAAAGTGGAAAAAACCTGTTTATTAAACAAGCAATTTTAAACAATATTAAACAATAAAACTTCTTGCCACTCCAAGAGAGAGACAAACTCAGGAAAAATCCCCTGGGTTGCCGCTGGGCTCACTCAGTCTCTGATCAGTCCCTCCGGCGCTGGAAATGCTGCGGCCCAGGCCCGGCCCGCTGGGCCACAGGTGCTGCTGCTGCTGCTCTTCTGGTGTTCAGTCCAGAGCAGGTCCAGAGAAAGGGAAAAAAAACACAGTCCAGGGAACTTCTTTGCCTCAGCTAGCTAAAAACTAACTAGGAAAAGGAAAAAAAAGGAGAGCTCTGTCTCGCTGTCTGTCCATCCGCAGACGACACAGTCCAGGAGGAGGAATGTGGAGGAGGGAGTGCAGTTCTTGAAAACAAACTCCACGCTTCTTCCCCCCTCCCTTTCACTCCTGGAACAAGTCTTAAAGGTGTAGAACTTATTATTCAATATAGACAGAGCAGACGATTGGGGATAAAGGCATCATACAGTCAACCTAGGACACAGGGGCACGTGGAGCTCTCTTGTCACCCTGGGAAATGATCAGGTTAAGCCCGTTTAAGGCTGGGGACTGCAGGAAATGCAGAGGAAATGATGAGGGCTTTCTGTGAGCAGCCAGGCTGACATTTTTTCTTCAGTTAACTCACACAGAGCTGTCTTTTCTTGCTCTGCTCTTTCATGGTTTGTACAAGCTGCTCTTTTCAGAGTGTGCTTTTCACCGTGCCAGGCTGGCACAGGAGGGTGCCAGCAGCTGCCCCTGCACAGGGCTCGGGCCAGGCTCCCCAAAAACCTGAGTGTGGCACAGTAAGCTGCCTGCAGATTTAGTGATCGCTTTACACCTGTGGGTTTTGCTTTAGTCAGAGCTGTCCTCCGGCAGAAAGTCAGCTCTTATGTGTGTGGATTGTTCAGGCTTGAAGTCCTGAATGTTCTCCTACTTTCTTGCTTTAGATCTCAGCTTTATTTTTCATGTATATATAATTGTATTAATATTTATAATTGGCTTTATCTGCATTATGCTTTTTCCACTACATCTGACAAGTAAGGCAACTCTAATTGAATGGTTTATTTTTAGAAAGTGGGAAAACAGTGAGTAACTAATACAGTTATGTTTTAATACCTTATGTTTTCTAGCTCCTTTAACCTGAAGGAATCCCTGGCCACCGTGGGCGAGAAGGTGTGTGCTGAAGTGAACAGCTGCCTTTCCCAGCATGGCTTCACCCCGTTCTCAGCTGAGAGGGAGGCTGTGCTGAAGGGACAGATCCAGGCAGTGGCCAGCCCGGAGAACTCCATCTGCAAGCTCATAGGTAGGTCTGCAGAGTGCTCTGCTCTCCCTGTCTGTGGAACTGGGGCTGGGGGATGTGCAGGGCTCCTCTTTCCCTGTTGTTTCCACATTGCTTCCATGTTATTTCCATATTGTCTTTCCAGCTTGCTGACCACATTCAGGCTTATTGCATTTTACATGATTCTATAATTCACCGTCTCTTTTGAAAACAAACCAAACCCCTTTTTTCCAGATTCTCGAATTCAAAAGTTTCTGGAGAATTATCTTGCATCCAGTCACCAGAAATCATTGCCTGCCATTCCTGGAGGATTAGGCCCCATTCAGAGGGAGCTGGAGGAGATTGCTGCCAAGTACATTCGTCTTGTCAACTACAACAGAATGGTCTTCAGCCCTTACTATGATGCAGTCCTTGGCAAAATACTGACTAAGGAAGAATCCCAAATTGTAGGGAAGTCAGAAGAATCATAAAAAAACCCAGTTTGTGTGCTACCAATACAGTATTGTCAGCTATTAAATAAAACTTGTACCAATATTTGTCTAGGAAAACAGCTTTCCGTGTAAATACTGGTTCCTTTTAACCCTTGAGTGCTGACTGATGACAGAAATAGAGGAGATGCAGAAAAGGTTCTGAGGTAAAAGATGAGAGATGAATTTCTAATATAATTATGCAACCTGGGGAAGGGGATATCATGGGAGTCTTCTGGTGGCAATTTTTAGATTTTTGAGCTGGTGATAGGTAGGGCAAGTTTAAGAACCAAACTTTGTATTTAAGTGGCTCATTTCAGGGCATTTAACTCCTAATTTACAGTGAACATAGTTTAATTTATCCAGAGCGGATTAGCAATGGTTCTTCCCAGAAGGGGTGTTTTGGTTTTTTAATAAAAAAAATCTTACTTTAAAGAATTAATAAAGCTAAAATTCTAAAGAAGAACTTTACCAGACAAAACACCAAGCCAAGCAGCACTTTACTGTAACATTATGGTGAGTATGATAGGCTTACTAGTTTTTTCTGTATTTTACTGCATTTTTAATAGCATTTTTTTGCTGTTTAACTGCAGATGTTGCAAAACATAATCTATTTTTGTAGCAATTTTTCTGGTTATTGGGTAACTGTCCTCTGCTATGTACAGTACTCCCAGAGGTGGCAATCTTATAGATTGCAGCTGTATTTATATCTTGTAAAGACTTCAGAAAGGGCAGAGCTAAAATGTTTTTATAAAGTGGCATTTCTTACCTTTTTTTTTTTTTTTTTTTTGCTAGTAATTTACTCCTTTTAGGTGAAATACTAATTTTAAAGTAAATTCTCATTTGCAGAAGGTGGATTTAAAGTGTGTGAAACTTTAGGTTGAAAATTTTGGGCTTTTTTAAAAACAACAACAGGGTTTGGTTGCATATTCAATCATGTCTTCAGAAATATGTGCAGAGCATGGTGGGCTGTATAAGTAATTTCAATGTACTGTGAGAGGTGAATGGTTTGATGTTAGTTTGAATGTACAGGGAATATTTTAGTAGATTTTTTTCACTTTCTAGATGTGTTCTTGAAACTTAGAATATTTGTAGGTCTTGAATTTCATAAGCTACATGTTGTATAGAGAAGAGCCCAGTGATCTTACATTGCAAACTTAGGCTCAGCTGGGAGGTAAGTGAAATTTTCCTCTGTTTGAGCACAACTGTGTTTTACAGTAATCAATATTTGATGGTTTTATGAAAGCAAAGTTTGTAGTTACTCACAGTAAGTGGCCCAAGTATGAGGCTGTCCAAACCAGAACGTGCTTGTCTTTAAAAAAAACAAGGTATGTGAAATAAATAAATGAAGGGCCCTTGTATTGCCAACAGGCACGTTAATTTAGGAATCAGCCAAACAGAACTTGCAGAAACACTTGATTATGATCCACTCTCAATGCTTTCCTTTCCAGTTTCCTTTGAATGTGAATGTGGATAAAACTGCACCAACTTTGGAAGGGGATGGAAGAAATAAGGCCTATTTTTCTATATTAGCAACTTTAAACCAAATCTTTTCTTGTTCATTACAAAGCCCCTTCCCCAAGGGAAAAGCCCAGCAAAACCCTGTGAGAGTTCATTAGCTCAGATAAGTGAAAATGTCTGTCTTTGAATCCTTCTTTGAGAACTCAAAAATGAGGTTGGTTAGCCAGAAAAAAAGGGTTCTGAGTAGGGTACCAGCTCCCTCAGCCTGTGCTGAAGGAGCCACCAGAGCCAAAACTGCTGGAATTGGCACCAAGAGAGATGGCCAAGGCACAGCTGTTTCCAGTTTTCTCAAATGGGAGCTGCTGTTGTTTTATGGTTCAGTCCTGCCCAGGAGCTGCCTTTAGAGGCACAGAGTTAGATGAGGTACAGGATGAGCTCGAGGGTGTGGGGAGGAACATCATGGTGAGACAGAAAAGCCCTTGGAAGGTGTGTGACTGATGGCAGAGTGCAGGGCACTGCTTTAGCAGCGGATAAAATCCTAACTGAGGAGGTAGATGGCTGCTCCCAGGGCTGGGATTCAGGGCTCAGGGACCAGGAGTGCCTGCTCCTGACACGGCAGCAGGGACTGTGCTGCCATCATGATGCTATTGCTCACAGGGCCCACACAGGGATCCCAGCTCTCCTCACAGGATGGTTTGATCCTAAGCAGAAAGATCCTAGAATGAGGGAACAGAGAGCAGTACTCACCTGTGGCTCCACTCTCACCTCCAGGGCCCTCACAGAAGGAACAAATGCTCCTGGCACAGGTGCTGGGGGCCTTTCAACAGGAAAGAGCTAAAGGAACTGCAATAAATTCCCACAAGTGCAAGGTAATGACTCTCCCAGGTTATGCATTTTAACGAGAGTGTTTGACAAACAGTTTCTCTACATCCTCTCTAAAAGAAACGGGGAGCTGCAATCGAGTGGCAAAGCAAGGAGGACATTCCAGGATGAGGCCAGCCCCATCTCCATGTGCAGGTGCTGCTTCCCCCTTGCCCTGGCAGAGAGGAGCCCTGGCTCAGGCAGCTGTGCTGGGGTGGGAATGACTTTCATTTGCCCCAGGCTCTGACTGTCCTGTGGTCCAAGGGGTTCTTAGGATCTTAGCAGAGTCAATCTTATCACAGCCAATTCCAAGTTAAAAGCTGGAGTATGCATAGAAACTGCTTGGAAAGCTCACATAGTGTTTCTTTAGCTTGTTTGAAGATAACACAAGTGCTGATTACAAGCTGATGTAGCTGATTATTAACATTTAGCTTTGTACATGTATGTGGAAGAGCAGTGCAGGTATCCAGGACCAGGCTGTGAGCCAGTGCTCCTGGACCACCCACACTCAACTGAGTTAGCCTTACAATGCTGTCTTCTTCAAACAGCCCTGGAATTACAAGCCAAAGTGTGCTGTATCCTCTAGAAAATGGAAAGCAAGCTCTGTTCTAATATGTATGCTCTGATCAATTTCCTGTGATGGTATAATTAGCGTTGCTTTTGAAGTGGCTGAGTAATATTTAAGAAGTACCTTGTTGTGTTTGAATAAAACCAGAATGAAGCATGATGTTATGGATATCCTTTTATTTTAAAGGAATGGTCTTTTGTTGTTTTATTTTTTAAATTTTCAACTACAAAACAGATTCCTTACATTCTGCCATAAATAAAAACGAACAATAAGGCAGGACACTACATGAACAAACTGAGAACAACTGTTTTCCAGAAAATGTGAATTTAAAATGCTTCACAAGTATAAGCCATCCAGTTTTTAAAATAAAACTGTTGAAAACCCACAAGAGTTCAAGTGGTAGATGTGTACACCCTCGAAGAACAAAATACAGTTTTGACATTTTGCACTTTTGGTTTTGAAAACCGAGTTTTGTTCAGAGCACATTCTAAGGTTGTTCGGGCTGTTTTCAGATCAAGAACCATATGGGAGAAGAGGCACCACAGTAACAAAACCATGTTCAAGGATTTTTTTTGTTTGCTGCTGTCCCTTTTAAATGCTTGACTTTTAAGAGACTGATTCAATGCAAGTCTTTGTCTGTCACAGCAGAACTCCAAACTTGTTTCACCGGATTCTCTTTTGCTGTCGTGCTCTGTAAATGTCATGTACAGGGGGAACTACAGATCCTTTCTCCTCGTCGTCATCAGAATCCTCATGTGATCTCTTCACAGCCTTGTTGAGAATGGTGTTGTTTTCCACAGGTCCATTGCCTTCCACAGCTATTTCAGGCAGGCCGCCCGTGATTATCCGCACGGCTTCGTCAACAGCTTCAGACACAGACACAGAGCGGCTCAGTGGGGAACATCCGAGCCCTGGCAGCGACCAGCACCCCAGCAGGGACCCCCAGAAATCAGCACCCCAGCAGGGACCCCCAGAGACCAGCACCCCAGCAGGGACCCCCACAGACACCCTGGGGACACCTCTGCAACATGAGATGCTTCTCCTGCCCTGTTCTACAAATGTGAAGCCTTGGCTGTCTGAAACTCTGAGCTGTGGTGAAGCCAATTAGAAAGGAAATGCTGCTGCTCCAGCTCCAGCCCTCCCTTTACACAGGAATTGAGGTCATTTGAGAGCTGCAATAAAACAGGAAGGCCTTTGGGAATCAGGGTAACTAGTTCATGATTCACCAGAAAGGCTGCAGAGCAGCTTCTGCTTCTCAGCAGAGGAAGCCTCAAAAATACCTGTATAATTTAAATAGATATTTTAGTTTCACTCAAAGAAATTAAATCCCACATTTCTTTCTCTATAATTTTTTTCCTTAAACTAACAAGGAGGGTGAAGAGTAGCATATTATTATCTGCTGTAGGATCTGTGCTGTTTCTCTGTTCCAGAACTCTCCTTCCCTTCTTTGCAGGAGCTCAGAATGCACTGCCTGCAGCTCATGCCCAGGCACTGCAGCAACGTGCACTCAGAGTTATCTCTCACCATGCTGCAAGTTTGTAATTTCATGTTACAGCTGCAATGCTGCTGGAAATGCTGCCTTTAAAGGATATTCTCAAAATCTTAATTTCTTTCTTTCGGTTGATACCACCAACCTATTAACGAGCAGCTGGTGATGTGTAGTTTTTTGACTTTTTGTTACCTCCCTCCAGGTAAAAGTGCAAACATCTCTATGCAGATTCCAGCACAATCTCCTCTGCTCTTAAACACTAATTACACTCTGTAAATGAGGTCTGGGTTTTAGACAGCAATATCCATATGTAAACCCAAGTCTCATGCAGCCCTAGCACAGCCTCCAGAGAGGACAAGTAACTTACTGTCTGGCAGTTTGCATCTTCTGAATATCTCCATGAGCTCATCCACTTGAACAAAGGGACCCTGATTTGTTACCAAAAGGGGGAAAAAAAAGTTTAGAAGGTTATTTTTAATAGAATGATACACACTGTGGTTCTATCATTACAGAAGTTTTCCACGGCTTTCTGAAATGTTCAGAGTTCTTTAAAACAAACCTGAAAACAAATAGGAGGTGGCAGGAGCTTCATGAGAACTACAGCTGCTGGTGGAACAGGAAATACCCCGCCTGGGACAGGATGTAAACCTGGAGCTGTGGGGAGAAAAGCTGGGTGAAGCCAATGCAAGACAGCTGGACCAGAGCTGCTTTTGCACTGCGTTGTTATTTGCTACAAATAATTAGTACCCTGTCCCTTTTGCCTCTACTAATTCCATATTGTTCACTCAGCCATCTGCTCTGTGATGTGTGTAACAGCTTATTTCCATTTACCATACCCCAAACTCCTTGTACTTATTTCTATGTGACCTTGGCATTAATTAAAACACACATGCCTTTAGCAAGCCAGTGAAATGACAGCCTAAGACTTAAGTACAGGTTTAGATGACTGAGGAGGAGGAAAGTACAGGTTTAGATGACTGATTAGGCTGGCTGAACAGCCGGGTTCCTAACTCGCCACAGGTGAAACACAACCACTTCCCAAAGCCTGACTTACGTGCTAAGTGTCTTGGCTGAAATGGAATCATCTGCTGGGTGTCTGGTTTGGGATATTCAGGCTTCCTGTCTACTTCATCCTTGAGAACAGGCACGATGGAAGGTGCAACCACAGGGTCTGGAATTATTGCTGCTAGCTTGGCACGGGAGACATCCTGTGAAAGCCAATTAGAGAGTGCTGAACTTGGCAGGATCACATGGCTTGCTTCAATTACAGAACAAAACCTCGCTCTGCACCAGTCGCTTATTCTCACTTTGTCTGCATTCTCATTTCAGATGGCCTCTTACCAGACCATCTGGGCAAAACTTGCATGGTTTCATTAAAGATTTTAATCCTACAGCGACCCAATGGAATGGAATGGAAACACTTGTTTCTGTTACTCAATGGGTGTTTGTCATTTTTGAGCGGCTCCTTTTTTAGGTTAAGAGGATTTAGGTGAACAGGTGCAGACCACTAGGCCTTCACAACTATCATTTCTCCCTCATTTCACTCCCTAGATTGCTTTAGCTGGAAAAGAAGTAAAGCATAAGGCAGTCAGCAGGCATGCAAAGCATCACTTCAAACAGGATTATGTTTTGGCATGTTCCAAGCAGCAGGAATCAGCCCCAGGGCTGCACCATCTTAGGTACACACTGCCCTGCATGCACTTAGCAAAATGTACTTGTTTGTAAGCTCACATTCAATTCAAAATAACTTTGCCCCCACTGCATTCAAAGAAAAGTATTCAGTGGCTCAATGTGAATCTGATTTCCACCTGTCGGATTATTTTACAGCTCTGTGGTGGTCAACAATTCAGCTGCTTTGTTAACTTTGATAGCATCTGTATTTTTCATAAATTATTTGTCTGTGGAAGAAGTAAATGGGAGTTGAGGCGCTGTTTTAGAGACATGGATTGAGGGTTCTCTTCCTGTCCATGCAAAAGGTAATCAGTTGTTTCTTCTCTGGCAGCCTTAAAAAAATGTAATGTTCTGTTCTAATGATTCTCCAAAATAACAGAGATAGTAAAAATACATGTAGTTAGAAACAAAACAGGAGACAACCAGATAAGGGGTTGGCCTAGACATTGAACTCCACATGGCAGCACCAAGGCACCTGAGCCCTAAGAAACAACTGAAAAAAGAGGCAGCCACTGATCCCTGTCAGGAGCTTTCCTCAGCCATTCCCAACAAACATTGGGACTGCAGCATGTGGGGTTTGATGCAGTTCCCAGTGAAGCCAAGGAAGCTTTGCCACCTCAAAGCAGGAGGACAGCCAGCCATATTTCATACAGATGACCTGATCCTACAAATTTCCCACAGAGTTGTGGTTCTTGAAGGAGCTCAGATGTGAAGTGGAGGCCTGTAGCTGCATGGTGATGGCATTAACACATCAACATTTCCATGGGAAGACAAGAGGTAACCAGGAATACCCAAAGTTGCAGCTGCAAAGTTACTGATGGTCCTGGCTCCTTTCTGCCCTTGGCCCCTGGCACTTTGCTGCCCAATGAGACCAGGAGGAGGAGGAGAAGGAGGAAGAGCAGGAGGAAGAGGCCTGTTTTGCCTGCTTTTCTAGCAAAGGGAAGGACTGTAAGGCAAATTCTAAACAAGGAATTGCCCAAGATTCCTAGGGCTGAAAAGAACAACAGTGAACTGTTCTTACCCTCTTACCTTATAACCAAGGGCCTTCAGCTCGCTGGCAGAGCAAGGGTACAGATCCATGAACTTGTACCTGTCCACCAGCAGAGCTGTTTCTTTGCCCTCATATTCTTCCTTGAAGGCTGTAAACCTCCGTTTTTCCACTTTCAGGATGCTGGCCAGATCCCCAATGTTACTTTCAAAGGCTAAAAACCGAGCCCAGATTTCCCTGGAACAGAACAAGGACACTGAGAGTTACTGAAGGAGGAAGGATTACTGAGCACAACCCAGTAAAAAACACACAAGAGGACAGACCCAGACGAGTCTGGAGGGCCATTGCTGTTATTTACTTTAGGTGCATCTAAAATAGGCATTGCCCTCCCAGTGCCTTCTGTATTTCTCTAAGAGCTTTCAGTCTGGTGGACTGCAAAGGAATTTGTTACAGAAAGGAAAGGATTTCTGGTGTCAAGGACTTCAGCATTTGAGGTGAGCTTTTATCAAACACTCTGCTCATCCTGTGCACACAGCTTCACTCTGATGCTGATATGGGAAGGACTTTTTACCAAGCATTATGATCTAGTTCCTCTGCACAGACCAGCATATTCTAACTGGCAAGAACACAACAGGCAACGCTTCAGAATTTTATACAGCCCAAAATATATATAGCTAGTGCTAATTTCTCCATGGAAAATCTCATACATAACGTAAGCAATATCTGACCATGTTTCTCATCTTGATTCAACTTTCATTCTGGCTTTGGAGTTCACCTTTGAAGAAGATTCAGCTTTTACGTTCTCGTGCTTCGTCACTTTTAAATTTGGCATAAAAATATTTCTCACAAAAGATCAGAACTGAAGTGCAGAATGAATGTGCACAGCAGTGCTGTATTTGATTCCTTAGTTTTGATGCTTTTGTCTACCAGAATAATGGTGAAGTGAACCCTCAGACTGCAAGGCTTTGGTGAGCATGTTTTTTGAGAAGGAAACTTAAAAAGTAGCAACGA